AATTCTCTGCATGACAATTAGAAATTATATAAAAAGGCATACAAATTATTAAAAGAGATATACAGAAAGACATTTGGGCTTGAAAAACACACAGTGAGGTTATGCTTTTTTGCAGACACAGAAGCAGGACAGAAGGTTGGTTTACTGGTTGACTGGTCTGTGGAAATTAGACTCCACAACATCTATATCTTCCATCTCCCTCGTTATTTCCAAGTCATCTCCTGTCTCATTCTTTTTTCTCGTTCTCTTTCTTTTCCGCTCCTTTCATTTCTGAATCTATCTGTGTTTTACGTTCCACGCTGTTGAGCACCTGTTCACGTATTGTCTTGGCAGCATATCATATAAGTCACAGCAAATATGTGTATCTACATTTACCGACATACATGTACATGTATAATGGTATGATGTTTGTAGATGTAAAGCGACTCTTTCGATTTGAGAAAATGATTCAGTATTTTTCCTGAACCCTGTATCTAATCCCCACGGAACAACTGTACTGAACAAAGATAGAGCGTTTTATGATCAGAACGCCACTCGGAGATTTCCGTTATTCTTACAAAACCACTCGAACGTTTTCCGTCACCCTCACACGATTCCGATTAATTTCAACCTTTATTCACAAAAGGAAATAATCCAAATATGAATGCTAATAGATTTTTACAATATTGTGAATCTGTAAAATTTACTCTAACTGTCCAAAAGAAGAACTATAATGATGATGTAAAGGACAATATGGTGTTACTGATACTGATATATAGACAACTTACGGTGTATTTTCTTTTTTATCAAACAGCTCAGCTCTTCCGCAACTCCTATTGTATTACAATGTATAATATATCAGAATACATATCCGTTTACCAGTCGACAGACTTCTAACTTCTTGCGCACAAACTGTCTTTATGTTAATAGTCAAGGTGAAATTATTGTATCATGAACATATAGTCCGGGAGCTAGAAGGGTCCACCGTGTACACAAAGTTCATGTCATTCCAGGGTACATATTGTCAATCCAGATCAGTGCCTGTGCTTTCACTGTCGCTTTGTACGCTAAACTGATCTAACACATCTGTCAGCTGGTATACAGTTTCGGAGTCATTTGAATCCACATCGTCGTCAGAAACTAGTGGCAGAACATCTCCTTTGTACCACAGTGACTCCAGCTTTCCATCCTTGACCTCCCATCCATGGTCAACCTTCACATCTGGAATATCTGGTTCAGCAATATGGGCCCTCTTCCATATTCCAACCTGATAGTTGACACGTCTTACGTGCTGCTCCAAACTTCTGAATGGTGGAAGTGATCCCAGGTCCACATTCTTTGAAGGGTGGGATTGGTCTTCCTAGGCACACTGCTCCTGTATGCGGATGTATCGCAGCTCATTAACCGTGTGCTAACTCTAGCACGACCATATATGACACGTGAATTCCTCCAGTTCATCAACGAGGTCTTCGGTTATGTACCGGGTTTTCCCGACCTGCAGAGTACAGCAGCAAACTTTGGAGTTTTCTGGAGAGTGAAAACATCACTGTCTGGACTTTTGATTCGGATGTACTCGAATCCCATGTCCTTTCCATAGTTGCAGTACAGAACTACTCTGGAATCAGTTTCCTCTTGGGATGAGTGTAGAGTTTCGATCTCCATATTCGCTGTGCTTTGCCCATCTTCAGACGTCAGCTGGTATGCAGCTCTTGCACATATGATGATGACTTTTCTTCCATGGAGCTTATTGGCATTTGAATTACTCCACGTCTTGATTAGGAGATTAATGAATTGTGTCTTGTTGTCATCATTTGTCAGGAACTGCTTCCAATCAGGAGGTTCCACGGATTTTACAGAATTGGGAGTAAACACATCTGTGTTGAACACCGCATCTGTTGTCGTTGACATCATGCCAAAAAACTTGTTGCAGATCAAGTTGAAATTGGCTGGTATCTCCTTGAGATAGTAGAAGTAGGCATAAGCCACATAAGTGTTGAATCAGCCGATGGTACCGGTGCATCCTCACACTCTTTGGTCAGATACTGGAAAGATTTAGATTTGTCTCTTTGCCAGAAATCCATCTGCTGTTCAAATGCTGTAAGGGAGAGGGGTCAGCGGGTACGTCATCAGCTCCTTCATGTCCAACTGCAAGCCTTGGCTTTGGGATTTCATAAATAGTTGGAAGGCAATATTGCCTTGTTGCTTATACTGGACCACTTTGTTGTTTGCCGTTGTTAGATTCATTAGCTTTACTGGTTCAAAGAAGTGTTCATTCTTCTCCAGTCTGTCTTTTATGAAAGCTTTCTGTGCCTCTTTTCCTGACTTTTCCACGCCCAGAACATCAGTTGCTATAATCTCAGTGGCTGCAGCTCCAGATGAAAGACTGATAAGTTTGTCTTGGTCGTCAACCATAAATGGATTGATGAAGCTTTCAACTGCCTCCTTGGCCTTTCGAACGTATTCATCCCTTTTCAGGATCTCTGCGGGTCGTACATCACGATGCATTGTTCCACTGAGCTGTCAGCATGTCAGCCATGTTCAGTGTCGTGTTGAGATACTGGGATCTCATGTGTGTTGTTTGCACCCATCTTTGGTATGCATCATGGTTGCTGAGAACCCCTGAAACACTAAAACTAACCCCATCAGCGTCACTATGAGATTTGGCATGTCTCATAAAGGTTTCCTCCATAGTTTTGTCGACGGCACATCGGTTTCCGGGTATGAAGGAACGAGCCACACTTATGGCTCCCCTCTTGATCAAATCAGTTGCTCCGGGATGAGAAACCTCTTTTATTTTGTCCAATATTTTGTTGCCATTTTTCATGTTCACGAACAACTGCAGCTGTACACATTTTAATCCTTGAATATGGATGACACATCTTGTTTTCATATCGGACGTTGATACAATTTTCACTACGCCTTCTCTTTGTCCCAACTTACGCAATGTAATGTTTGTGTGTGTGTGTGTGTCCACGGTGGACCCTTCTAGCTCCCGGACTAATATATTATAGGGCTAGGAGACTGTTTACAGCAACAAATACAGATAGTGGGGATGTTACTGTGACATATAATGTACAACATTTCCATTTTCTCTCTTTTTGAAAGGTATCCCCGGACTTTCCAGGGAAAGGAAAGATGTCTTTTAAATGCAGTTGATTTCACGGATATGTGACTTCGTAAATCAGACCTTGTCTTGTTAGGTCATATAATGTCCACTTCTTGTGCTGACTCTCTTTAAGTCTTAACGCCCACGCAATCCTTGTCACCAAAAGGAATTAAATACAGTGCAGTGATAAAACTGTTATTTCCACAGTTTAAACGCACTAAATAGTCACAGCATTGTCCACAACATAATAATTACGTATTTGAAAACTATATATTGCTACAACAAAATATAACATCAGACACACTACTAAACACGAAATTGTAAAGAGGATGGTGCAGGATTTGGAGACTCGGCCCTATACCTAGGTCACTGTAAGGGACGCAGTAGGGCTCATCTTTCGATTACCTGAACCCTGTGCAGTACTGTAATTTGTAGGATACCCAGGGAAACTGTACCGGGGATGATTACTGCTGATTATTTTATTCATTGGTACATATTGACAACTCATGAGGTATCTGTTGTCGTCCTCTGTGCCCCCACCCCTCCAAATTCAAATTTCTAAAATAGTTTACACGTACAGCGAAGACAGTTGTCTCCCGGAGGTTCCGAGCGGAATGCTCACTGCTGAAACTAATAATACATAATAAAACAACACACACAAGTAAGTCCACCCTTTCAAGTATTTGTTAGACAAACGACTGAATATGAAGAAATACACACAAACAAACTCCACATTTAAGGCCTTACGTTAGGATAAACAGAAGGATACCTCAGGTACAACGGTCATGGACTGGTTTGCTGTCGGATTCGGGTCTTCTACCCAGGCTTGTATCATATGGAACTCTGTTAAGTAGTACACTCGATATTTTTATAGAGCCGTCTACTCAAACTACTATATTCAAACGATCACCGCTACAGACGGTTCCATCCCACTGCCAACTCAAATCGTTCGTCGGTGAGACGATACCCGGCCACAGGTGGAGTAGTATAACTTCTGTATTGAAGTAGTTGTTGTATAACTTCTACATTGAAGTAACTGTTGTATAACTTCTACAATGTAGTAACTGTTTTATAACTTCTACATTCTAGTAACTGTTGTATAACTTCTACATTGTAGTGACTGTTGTGTAACGTCTACATTGTATTCAATATTGAGTAAATCATTAGCAGATGCTCCTATCTGCGTTTTTACCAAATTTTATGTTGTTCTTAAGTCCATATTATTTATCTTTCAACATCGTGTTAAATCATATCACGGACAGATAAATCTTGATTATCGACACCGTGACATCTGGTTATAGACCGATACAGAATATTTTTAACAATATCACTCGAGTGTTTTCATCAGTATTTTCAACTGAGAGAGAGAGAGAGAGAGAGAGAGAGAGAGAGAGAGAGAGAGAGAGAGAGAGAGAGAGCATTACAAAAACGATAATTATTTTTCAATTTTTAAAAAAAGAATTTCCAAACTTTAAAATGCATGAAAATTATTCACTATCGTATACATCATTTCTGGTGAAATTTCATTGATGGCCTGATCATTTCTTTACTTTTATTGATTTAATTATTTTTGTTGTTTTCTTGTGCCGTTATCGAAGTGTATATTAATAGGAGTAACAACATATTTCTTGGTGCACGTTAAATCGCACTAAAAATCTCAAGGCCTACATTTATCCTATCATATAAAACATTTCGAAACGATACAGAAAAAATATAGGCTTACGTTTACTCCATCGTATAATACCTTTTGAAGTAAGTACAGTAAACTGGAAAACAATCCTTATCATTACATTCGCCATCAAGAGATTTTCACTAATTCTCTAATATGCATCGTAGGAACAGCGGGCAGTTCAATACAATAGTATTTTACTGGGAAGAAAGAGTGGTCATATGGATAAGAAGTTCAAAGAGCATGCCAATTAGTATATTTTATTTCATTTACATTTTGAAAATAAACATGTCATGTTGCAATAACAACAAGCTCTCATTAATGAATCGTGCATAAACATTAACATGATCAAGAATTGTACAGAAAATATATAAGTACATAATATCTACTATCAAGAGAAGCCGACTATTCAACATCATCAGCTCCTACACAAAATTCTTGATTTCCACCTTTAAGCCAAGCATCGATATCGTCATATAAGCGTCTGTAGGATTCTGATCGATGTAACCTCCGGCATAATATACAAAAAGGATTAGGCTCATAGCTGTATGATTCATAGAATTGTTTCCATGTAAAGTAATTTTCAAATGCCGTCATATTATTTGGAAGTTTTGTTATATACTCGCCGAGTTTCCCTGGGGACGAAAATTCATCCGTACTTATGTAACTTCCAGGGGGTAAGAACATCCAAGATTGATTTTTGAATCCCCGAACCACCGGAATTGTATTTGAAGCGATTTGGAAAATATTGAAAACTTTCTCGGTAATATAGTCCCGACATATAGCGTTCTCAAAAGACAAATAAAACTTGTAACGATCCAAACATTCCTTAAATTTATCGAAATCACAAACTAATTTTCCACAGGCACCGTATATATCCGTTTTGACGTATTTAGTAAGTTGTTCGACGTATAATTCACGTTTTGATGACGTGTTACAATGACTAACAAACCAACCCACAGGATTGAATGACGTAGGAATATTTAAAGCGGTCGGAATTTTTGAAAGGACACTTTGACGTTTCCTAAAATCTCCATATGAATGGCGAATATCGGCATCACGACGGTATGACATGGTCCAATTGAAAAGACACCGCCATGGTGACAAGGACCCCATCCAATATACAGGAGCCTCGCTTCCGTGTAGCACCCAGATCTGACCTCGGATTTTCGTTGGTGGTTGAGGATTGGTAATCCCTAGCGGCGGGCCCTGAAACATCACAGCATCACTGGTAGACAAATTACCATTAACGCCATAAGTCATTGTGCATGCATCCGGGCAGTTATCGAAAGATGTAGGTGACACGTGGTCCGGTTTGTTAAAATAATGGACTTTGATAATTTTTTTCTTAATTTCATGTTTGTTTTCTTCCAATGCAGTAGACATTACGTAGTGTTTCAGTTTTTCTAGATAGATATCAATTTTTGTTTTATTTCTCCTTAATATAGACCATTGACTGTACGTCCCATCGACGAATTCACGGTTCTCAACAGGCAGTGGGCTACTCGTGTCTCTGTTAATTATCTGGTAGGTGTCGTGTAAGAGTTTCATTGACAAACATACAGCACACATTGCCAACACTTTTGTTAAATATTTCCTGTAAAACAAATAAAGTAAATATTAATTTCATAAGTTCAAAATGAGACTCATGATACCCCCCAATCCCCATCCTTCCCGGTCTTTTCATGTAAAATAAATCCGCAGTAAGGGAGGTACATTAACTCTGTTGACGTTCATATGTAAATTTTGTAGTAATATTTTGCCCTTAAATAGCTAACCCTTATGACTACACAACTATACATTTTATCTGAGCAGTTTAAGGGTTGTTCACTGGTTTAACACTATCTTAATACCATTAGTTTGAATGCAGAAGAATGTTTCTGCGTTAGTGATATTGTATGAGACTTTAAACATTTATTGTAAATTAAGTAATGAGTACGGAGAAATAGGACGGTTAGTGGCATAAGGATGTGTTTGAAAAATGGGAACATATCTAACAGATAAAAAAATCAGACTATCCTTTTGAAAATACATCTTAAACAAGTAAATCTAGTACCTTATTAAAATAAAAGGCAACTCTGAAAAAGGCAAATAAAAGAATACTTTCTAACAAAAATATGAAAATCCAAACTTACACATGACCCACCAATTAAACTGTGTATACGTGTGTTTATTATATCGCAATTTCCAGAAATCTCAATTTAGAAAAGCGGTGTCTGGAAAAATCTCTCTAGATACACGATCATAATTAAAGTTACTGCGGTTTATAATTACACTTTAGGGAATGTAGATCAGGTGACGTATTTGTGTGTCAAAATTAAACAACATTTGAAATATGATCTCTCAAAGTTACAACCTATTATTTCAATTTAATTCCACTGTGGGCTTCTTCAGGCATTATCAATTCAAAATTGCCTCGAAATTAACAAAACTGTGCAAATATACATATCTCCATATAAAGCATTACTGGATTGTGTGTGAACTGAAGGGGATCCTTTTACAACATCGAAAGAACTGATACGGGGGTTAACCCATATATGTCTAATAAACCGAAGGTACCATCAATCAGTACTTCCGGTGTGATTGTTGGAAATCTAACACGTGTTCTTTAGCAAAAAACACGCATTCTTTACCATGTTTTATAACTCTGTCAACATAAAAAAAACAATACTGATAGGCTTACGATGATGAAATTACTATATATGCCACAATCATTTATTCCAAGCAAACCCGAATCTTTCATCCTAAAACCAAGACCAGAGAAAAGAACAGTCCTTTGTCTTTATTTCAGATACACTAAATACACAAACATTTATGACTCTCTCCTTATCATCCCACCTCTGAAATAATGTTTGTTGATCAGAACCTCTTAGAAGTAGAAAGTGATCCTACAGAAGGAAATGTACTGTGAATTTCTTTGTCAGATTGTTTTCATTAATTTTATTTTCTGAGGTTTTCCCGAAATTTTGGATGCGTTTTTTCTCCTTAAAATCAAATCAAATGAGAAATAATGTTTTCTCACATTTTCATTGCATCAGCTTTAGCCATTTATTCCAACCTTGAAATAATAATTAAATGACTCTTTGATAATAACATTCTTTAAAGAACTAGGCAGTTAAAGGATTGTATCACAAATTGAACTCAAAGTCAAATGAATCTACCAAACCAATTACTACTATCTAATTCCAAACAAACTCGAAATTTTCAATTTACCTGAAATGAGCCTATAATTTAGACCTAGTCTATGAAATCAATTCTCTTATTCATACAAAAGTGTAAACATTGAACAAAAATCTTTGCTGAAAACGACGACCATTTAAAACAGGTTGTACAGTTTACGTGCAATGTCAATACTTACAATTTTCCTAGCCGGAAACGAAACATTGTTCCCAGTTTTCACATACGTATCCCGACGTTTATCACACTGGTGTAATTCTCACTGAAATTCCCCTAGTCGTACTTTTGTCGGTACTTAACAATGATTCAAATGCGTATTAATTATCCAACACACATCGTCTCCTTTCATTAGTAGATTAAATGGCACTATGGACCGTTTTAACAAAACTGTACACTGTCTTTCCATGCGATCTTTAAGTACATAGTATACCTAATGATCCTCTTATCTCGTGACACTGAATGTATTAACCCTGTCGCACAAACACTGGCTATAAACACGTGTTAATATTGATCCCAGAGTTGACCAGGATGTTGATTACTTACTTAATCTCCACATATTTATACACATGTTCTACTTTACACACGTTTCCTTGTAAGGCAGACGGTTTTATAGTGGCGTACTTGAGGCGAATGTGAGATGCACAGCTACTTGTGAAAAAGCTAAGCTTTTCATTGTTTGAATGTTTAAAGCATTGTAGGCCAACATAAAAACTATGACCAATAAATCTATTTTTAAATGTGCAGTAAGTGTGACATCCGCTTTATCGAAACGACACTATATCACTAAATGTATATCATTCCTCTTCCATACCTGTACTGGTGAACACATGTCACTGTGGAAGCCAACACAACATACACAAAATGCTTTCAATTTTTTATGTCGCCCTGACCATGGTTGACTAAGTCGGCTTGGGCGAGTTACAACAGTTTAGCTCGGTCAACCAATAATTGACTTTTATAATACAACGACAACAGCTGCTAGCTGTCGTTAACGCATGTGCTAACAATATCAATAAATTAACGGAAATCCTATATATGAGATATTCTCAGCTAGAAATTCAAGAGCAACATGTAAATCTTTTAAAATTAGCATTTGTTTTGTCAACGTTTTGGCGAGTTCCCTGAATATAACGTTCACACCAAACTATGATTAAATATTTCGATAGGCTCCATATGGAAGCCTTTTCAAAACAAGGTTCCTTATTATTCCACTGTTGTGGTTCCTGATAAATTACAGGAAATGAAAAACAAGATATCTGAGTTCACTAATTCAGGAATTATCTGATATTAAACACATTGGAAACATTTTTGGGGATTATAAACAGTATTTCATTCTTTTTTTCTGTTATCGCTTCTATTATGTAACTTTTAGTTCTATTTTGTTTTTGTCTTGTATAAATGCTCACAAAAAAAGAGAAATAAAGCTAGATCTACAAAACACGAAACTGATATAAATGGTCTACAAAGAAGTCAACCTCTTGTGACGTTTACATCAACGCCTGTAGCATCACCTACAGAAGTACCACTCGTGCCAAAAACATACCAGTAGACGCCAATAAATCCTCGTCCCCAGACCATTATGCTACCTCCTGTGATTGAAGAGGATTCATAACTGTTCATTGTAATTGTTTCATATATATGTAATACTATCAAAGTGTTTATGTTCGTTCATCGACAGAAGTTCCATCAACGACACAGAAATTATTCATCATTTTTATATATTATCTTCACCCACATTGATTACTTAACATTTACTTAAATATATATTCGATCATTTATACAGAAGAGACGTCTTCACAATCTGCAATGGAGTGTTCAACCTAACATGATACAAACACGGTCATATAAAGTAATAGTAACTTTACCCTACTGTGTCAAGAGTCGGAGACGTTGTAACGTCATCATACATGCACAAATATATCGTCCACTACTCAAACGACATAACAACGCAACATATTTCAACGGATAAAGAAATTCTCGATGCAGTTAAATGCAGAAAAAAATTATTTCCTGATCTAAAGATAAACTACATTCACTTCTACAACTTACAGCATCCTCATTACAACATGGAACTCCTGACAAATCTACATTGTACATCTCAGCCTTATTGGTGTTCGATATATTATGCATGGATTTAAGTTGGAAGTACATCATCCAAGCAGCATCATTTACCGTTTCATGAACAAGAACACTTGCCTTTATTGCTTTGGACGTCAATATTACCTTGAATGAACTTTATCAACTAATCAAATTTCTTCATCATGATGTTTCGTAATCTCTTATAGTGCATAAAAATTATATATCTGTACATTTATTTAATTGGTACTTTCAAGTTTTTCGTTACTCGAAGTGTTTGGCAATATTACCCTGTTGTTAGCAATATTATATGTTAATGGTGTATCGTTTCATCGTCATTGTAATGTATGATGTTATTTCTCACTCTATTATAAGTACTATGTACTTTAATTTCACAATAACTATTGACAAAAGACTGTCATTCAATTTGTTAGTATTAATGATATGAACTTATTTTAACACTCCATACATGACTTGTATCATTTCATTATCAGAAATATGATATTATTAAGATTACAATAAGTACGTGTTCCAAATAACTCACAATGTATTTATTTTAATAAGAAACTTTATTATAATTTTTGAAGATTTCCATAAATTAACCTTACTTCGTCAATATACTTTCGTATAACTTTATCATGAATATTTACTTAAACTATTTTTTCATACATGATGTCATAATCATACTAATGTGAAATTATTTCTGACAAAGGGACGAGAGAACCACAATACATAATTTCTGAAATAATATCAAAATTATCATAAGAGTAAAATCTCGTATTTTGTATTGAGCAAAATATGAATATGAGCTTTATCCAAAACCTTATCGTCATTATGCCCAAAGGCTAAAGACAGATTACATGTTTACATGGCAGAAATACATATTGTCATAGGTAAATATGTCAAGTAATGAAATTTTGTAATTAATGATGTAATTTTGTCACTTTTCTGTCTAATTATGATTCGCTTGGTCTTTTCAACATTCCATTGAACACAACTGGACCGACTTTTCTTCACGCAGAGAAACTTGGAAGATGATAATCCTAAATCTCACGTAGAAGACGACTATCAGTCACCTTTATCCAGCGATCCAGCGATTCGTCGCCATGTTTTGCTAAAATATATATGTATCGGTCATCTATAGGGGAAAACTGTATTCATCATGAATCAATCTATTCAAGACCGTATTGACACCATTAACTCTATTATTGATCCAGGTGTAATAAATGAAGGGGTCTACCATTAACTCTATTACTGATCCAGGTGTAATAAATGATGGGGTCTACCATTAACTCTGTTACTGATCCAGGTGTAATAAATGAAGGGGTCTACCATTAACTCTGTTACTGATCAAGGTGTAATAAATGAAGGGGTCTACCATTAACTCTGTTACTGATCCAGGTGTAATAAATGAAGGGGTCTACCATTAACTCTATTACTGATCCAGGTGTAATAAATGAAGGGGTCTACCATTAACCTCAGGTGTAATAAATTACCATTAATCCAGGTGTAATAAATGAAGGGGTCTACCATTAACTCTATTACTGATCCAGGTGTAATAAATGAAGGGGTCTACCATTAACTCTGTTACTGATCCAGGTGTAATAAATGAAGGGGTCTACCATTAACTCTATTACTGATCCAGGTGTAATAAATGAAGGGGTCTACCATTAACTCTATTACTGATCCAGGTGTAATAAATGAAGGGGTCTACCATTAACTCTATTACTGGCCCAGGTGTAATAAATGAAGGGGTCTACCATTAACTCTATTACTGATCCAGGTGTATAAAATGAAGGGGTCTACCATTAACTCTAGTACTGATCCAGTTGTGATAAATGAAGGGGTCTACCATTAACTCTATTACTGATCCAGTTGTGGTAAATGAAGGGGTCTACCATTAACTCTATTACTGATCCAGCTGTAGTAAATGAAGGGGTCTACCATTAACTCTATTACTGATCCAGGTGTATAAAATGAAGGGGTCTACCACTAACTCTATTACTGATCCAGGTGTATAAAATGAAGGGGTCTACCATTAACTCTATTACTGATCCAGTTGTGGTAAATGAATGGGTCTACCATTAACTCTATTACTGGCCCAGGTGTAATAAATGAAGGGGTCTACCATTAACTCTATTACTGATCCAGGTGTAATAAATGAAGGGGTCTACCATTAACTCTATTACTGATCCAAGTGTATAAAATGAAGGGGTCTACCATTAACTCTATTACTGATCCAGGTGTATAAAATGAAGGGGTCTACCATTAACTCTATTACTGATCGAGGTGTAATAAATGAAGGGGTCTACCATTAACTCTATTACTGGCCCAGGTGTAATAAATGAAGGGGTCTACCATTAACTCTATTACTGATCGAGGTGTAATAAACGAAGGGGTCTACCATTAACTCTGTTACTGATCCAGGTGTATAGAATGAAGGGGTCTACCATTAACTCTATTACTGATCGAGGTGTAATAAACGAAGGGGTCTACCATTAACTCTATTACTGATCGAGGTGTAATAAATGAAGGGGTCTACCACTAACTCTATTACTGATCCAGGTGTATAAAATGAAGGGGTCTACCATTAACTCTAGTACTGATCCAGTTGTGATAAATGAAGGGGTCTACCATTAACTCTATTACTGATCCAGTTGTGGTAAATGAAGGGGTCTACCATTAACTCTATTACTGATCGAGGTGTAATAAATGAAGGGGTCTACCATTAACTCTATTACTGATCCAGGTGTATAAAATTAAGGGGTCTACCATTAACCCTGTTACTGATCGAGGTGTAATAAATGAAGGGGTCTACCATTAACTCTATTACAGGTGTAATAAATGAAGGGGTCTACCATTAACTCTATTACTGGCCCAGGTGTAATAAATGAAGGGGTATACCATTAACTCTATTACTGTTTTAGGTGTAATAAATGAAGGGGTACCTGACTTTGAACAATGACATTCTCAAGGACACCATTGTGTTTAAACTGGTTTAAGCGATCTTGGAGATCAAGTTATGAATGAAAAAGTTTCTTCATTAGAATTACTCAAATAAGAATTAAAAAGTATTCAAATAATTAGTTAATGTGCAGATTTCTGCATTTAATTACGGTTAATTATATCGTATAAATACCTCCAATACCTGGCAAGACCCCCTAGCTGTATAACCATTTCCTGATGCTACTAAGACGACAACGAACAGCAGCGAGACGAGTTCACCTTATCCGCCATGCTACCTTTGATGCCCAGGTAAAGTGAAGCTGATGTGTGGTTCACAGAGGGACCTCCAACCAAGTTCTCGAAGCATAGTATTAGAAGCTGCAGAAGGTGGTACACTAGTCATATCCGAACATATACATCATTATCAGAGCGTTCCAAAAGATTTATGCCGCCAATGAAATCAACAGGATACAACGAGGAACATCAAGACCGCTTGGGAAAGGATACTGAAATATCAACAGCAGACTGACCCAACTAAAGGAGCACCTTTAGACTTGAAAGTGTCTACTATAATGTAAAATGTGCTGGACTGTTAAAATATCTCTATCATGTATGTTTGTATCTGTATATTAACCAACTTATGCTACAACTTATGTATATTATATCAGTGAATGTTATGTGTTATATGTCTCTGCAAGAAACAAATGCAAAATTACATGTATTAAGAAATGTAATATTATTGTATATTTACATTCTGTGTTGCCTATATGTCGTTTGTACACCAAATTGTAGTAGATGAGACTGTTTACTTCAACTTACAGTGTATGAATACAGCAGATAGTGTCTCCAATGTAAACAAACATGGCCGCCAGTAGCAATAAATAAACATAGCTTGCATACATACAATCCAATTATATCTTAAATTCAACATTGTATTCATAGCGACTGTATACTGCCATTTGATAACAGTTCAATGCTTAAATGTAAATCAGTCGGTGTAAACAAGAGGTACACACCTCACTGTCTTTGGGCAACAGTCATACAACATCTCAGTTGGTGGGTCACGAGTGATATGTCTATATCTGTATATATGTACCTCACATGTCATTCGCATCTCTAAAGGAAGGGGAATAACTTTGGTTGACTTTCCGGCTATTTATAGTGACTTCGTCTGTACTATATGGCAGCACAT